ATCTGTCTTATGTTAATTTAATTATTAGGCCAAAGAACCTAGAAGGAAAAAAGGGAAATTTTTTTCTTGCCCTTATAGTCTGAGAATAACTCAGGTCCCAAAGCCAGCTTAGTGATAAAACCAAAATTTGAACTCAGGGTCTCCTAACTTAAGACCAGTGTCCTCTCTGCCAGGTTATTGTTGCTCATGGATTATTTCATAGTGACCGTTACTGCTTTTTTCACTGTGTTCATTATTCATTTGACATGAAAAGCCTGGCTGCTCATGTCAGCCAGGTAAACAGATAAATCACAGGAGAGTAGTGAGCACAACAGCCAAGATAGGAATCAAATGGAAACCCTTTTCTACGGGAAAACAGAGCAATTAAGTCTGCCTGAGGGAGCCAAAAAAGGCAAACTGATCAGGAGGTGGTATTCCAGGTGGAACTCAAGCACTAAGCAGAGATATTTTAGGTGAAGGAGTTGGAGAAGATACAGCAGGGACAAAGGCCCGGAGAGAAAGGAACAGCCCCAGATGGGACATACAATGCCCCCTAGTAACAAAAGTGGGGGCCAGACTGTGACGCCAAGCCCAGGGACTGGGGCTGGGTTCTACCTTTCAGGTAATTGGGAGTCAACACGGAAGTAATTATCACTGCTGGTCTATTAGGAAGACCTGTTGGGAAGGCCGTGTCCATGACAGCCGGGAGTGCACTCTTGCAACAGACCATAGCCAGGCTCTGTATGAAGAGTGAGGTGCCTAATATAAGGGGATGCCCAAGACTCAGCGATCCTGGCAAATGTTTTCATGCAATATTTTTAGAAATCAAAACTAATGCTCCTCCATGATGAAAAAATCTAAATCATAAATAAAAGCAAGCTGTAGTGCCAGCAAGGCACAGAGCAGCAGACGGGTAAAGGAGAGTCCTGGAGCTCTTGGTGGCTTTTTCAGGCTTTTATTGAGCTTTTTACATCATTTGTAGTGTGGCAAACAGGTACATGGCAGGCAGCGGGGGTTGGGTGGCCGGGAGGCTGGCAGACCTCCCAGCCCCCCACCCTGTGAATCTACTCTTTCCAGGCTCTCTGCTACCGCTTCTTCCTTGCTGCTGTGGTTCTACTACTGCTGGCGTTCCCGCAACGCCGCCTTACCGCCCAGTTTCTCAGCCCAGGTGTGCGCACTTATGTGTGCCCACACCCTGCTCGGGGTGTCTATCAGGCACGCGTGCAAGCCGACAGGTGTCTATCGTTAATACTAATGGCAGGAGGGTGGACAATCCTAACAATTTTCCCTTACCCTACACAGACTATTGTTTATTTTACAGTCCTCTTTATCATGCTACTGGAACCTCCTCCTCACTGTCTATCCTCTCTCATTGGGTGGGTCCTTGTGGGTTTTCTATATGGTTGTAGCTTTTTTGTAGAGCTTTCATTAACTTATCCCATCTGGTTCATGAAATGAAAGGGTGTTTTTCATCAGCATTTACAGGAGCACACAGGTTTTTGGTTCCTGAGCTCCAAGACCACCTGGCAAGTCTCTGAATGGACCAGGTAGTAAGTGAGGAGGGGTGAGCAAATACCCAAAGGGTGAAAGGTCAGATTCCAACAACACTTCTCAGGCAAAAATGAAAGAACTCAACAAAGTAAGAGTGGAAACCTAAGGCTCAGCTCGGGCAGAATTTATTCTTTCCCACTACACAAATGCGTCAGGAGCAAAAACCCTATCCTAATCTTTTGTATCATTTTGCACCAGCTCAAGTTCCTATTAAGTAATTAAGTGGGAAAAAAAGACCTTAAATCCAAAATACGTGACTGAAGCAGGAATTTGTGTGATTGCTGCTTCGTTCTTCTGGCTGGGGGACGGGGTCACGGGTGAATATTGAGAGGTTAAGAAACCATCAATGATGACTAAGCCTTCTAACGTCTATTAAGTCATGCGAGTGACACCCTCCTGTCACTTTCCCACCTAATTCTGCATTCTTAAGACTAAAGAGAAGAATAATTAAAATGAGGGCTCAGTTTACAGCCTCTGCAGCTACAATCAGATTAGTCAGACTGATGAAGCTGTCCTTTCCACCTGCCTGGTACAAAGCAGAGCATGAGCGAGCTGCTTTGCGGTTTTTCTGTATCAAACATTAACTGAATCCCCACCTCCTCTCCTTCCATATTTCCTCTCTGCCTGTATCAGCGTCGGTCCCACATGGATCCACCTCTGCAGAGCAAAGCAAGACCCAGCCTAGGACTGTGGACATTCAAGGCACAGTAAGGCGGGGTTGTCCTGCAGAGGACTCATCAACGGTAGATATGCACTGGCGAAGCACAGTTCACTGGGGAGGCCTTCCTAAACAAAAGCCACTGCCAGTCCTACCTTCTAGGTCTTTCCAGAAGGCTGAGCTGAAGAAGCTCTGAAAGGGAAATACAGAGATGAGAACCTGCCACCCCCGGCCAGGCCCAGGCGCTGTGACTAAACAGGAAACGTGCTACTTAGCAGCTGAACGGATGTATGCAAGTTCAAAGCACAGGCACAGAGCTACACTCATACATCCCAGCAAGCTAAAACAAAGCCGCTTTAACCCTGACAGATGTGTAAGAGACTCATGTGCTTAGGCAGTTACCTGCTTGGGTCTCCTGGAGAAATTAATTGTGAATAGTTTTTCCAAAGCACTGTTCATTGAGCATCTACTATGTGCCCAGTGCTTCATAGGCATCATTTAGAACTATCCAAAGCCCCGCAAGGGAAAGTGTTATCTATCTTCATTTTATCAAAGGAAGTGCGGGAGAGGTTAGGTCATTTGCCTGAGGTCATGGAGCTGATCTTCATGGAGGAAAAATTCAAAACACAGCAAAGGCTGTTTTAGTAGAGTGGGGGCGTTCCTTTCAAGCTCTCAGCGCTTAGTGTGATTACACCAAGTCGAGCGAAGTCGAGTTTGTCAGTGAGGGCCAGATGCCATCTTCAACCTTGTCCTACCTGCTCATTGTTGAGTATTTTGTATTAACTTATTTTAAATTTTATTAAAAATAGTGCATTAAAGTATTGCATACCATGATTACTGAGGTTTTTGGCACCCCTTTAAAGTTTGCACAGAAGCTTCATCCTCACCCTAGTTTGGGTTCCAGTTGGGGCAGCTCTCATTTTAGTCAGACTCACCACTTTCCTCCCTCCAGCCTCCTAAGTTTTACATCCCAAATTCAGACCCTGGGAAGGAGGTTTTTGCTTTTGTTGCTCTTGCTTGCTTGTTTGCTCCTTTTGTTTTTTGTTGCTATTCATTTTGGTTTTTCCTTTATCTTCTTTCTATATTTGTCTCCAGCTAGGATACTTAGAAGCAAGAAATGTGGCAAAGGTGACAAATCGGAAAATGGGATGCAAAAATTCCATGGAACCAGGAATATATTCAACCTTCTTTAGAAGGAAGCACCTACGTGCAATGCTGTGGCGCTGCCCAAGGCCAGAGAATATATTTCTAAGAAATTAGCTTCCACCATGACCAAATCTTCACACATCTGTTTCACAGAATTATCTCTGAGCCCTATTACCAGATACAAAATTAAATAAATACTGTGAGCTGAGGCTGTGGGCTGTTGCTGGTAGTTGGAGGGAAAAGTTCTTTTTATTTCTAAAAATTTTGTTTCTGCAAATATGGTACTGTTA